AAATTACCAAAACAGGAGTTACAAAGTTGGATTGGTTGGAATGAAGTTCTTAATGTAAACTAGCCACTTTGCTTTTAAGAAGAAATGAACCTACAGACTCCTCCTGAGGTGGGAGTCCCCTTGAGATTTTCTTCTCAACTCCAGTTAGAAAAAAGATCAAGAGGCAGACCAACTGGATGCCTACTCAATCTGGACCTAGGAAGCTTTGATTGGAAGTACTGAAGAATGAATGGCTGAACGATGGTAGCTAGACAGATTACTTGAAAGGGAAATTCAAGAGTCACCATTAGTGGGGAACCAATCTAATCTGGGAATATCATCAGGTCTGCCAAGAAGCTTGAAAGGTTTGATTGCTAGAATCAAAACTTTGGATACTACAGTACGATAGTACTCTGTACTATCCAAAACTCTAGTCTGTGGAAAGACTGAGTACTATCTACAAAACAAACAGATTTATGCAAGGAGGGACAGACTGGCCACTGGAAGAGATTTCTGTTGAGGTTTCCTGTCAAGTTCATCTTGGAAAAGGTTAAGAAGCAGATCTAGCAACAGCTAGGAATACAGTCAAAAACATTTGAACAGGTTTAATTTAGAGAAAGACTTGTCAAAATACCCCATCTCCAAACCAATCTTGGGGATTTCTTGGTAAATTTATATGGGGAAAGGGTGAACAAGTGGATCTAAAGGTCAGATTTCCCAAAGGGGAGCCAAAAACATTGGCAGACTGAATTCACCTGGATGGATGGCTGGATTTAACATAGTAATTCCTACACTCTAAATCTAAATGCAAGCACTCTCAATTTAAAAGTATATTTCAAATCAATTTTATATTTAAAAACAAATTAAAGAAAGAAAACATTTTAAAGGCATTTAAATTGGAAATATCTAAAACTTAAACACTTCCTTTTTTTCTACCTCTTCCAATTGCCCTACTGACATTACTGAAGTTAGACACTATAGTTGAGTAGGGTTAGGGTATCACCTCTTGGATTCGTCACAGAACATTTTGAGCTTTTCATTCAGTAGAAGAGTAGAGGAAGAGGAAGCATTTTCTTCTGACATTCTGAAAGGAAATGTTCCACTTTCTGCTGAGCAACAGGCTTGTGGAAAAAAAAGTTTAACAAAACAAAAACTTCCAACTCAGATTGTGTGAGGAAAGGGGCAGAGATTAGGAGAAAGAGAAAGCAATGACTAGCGATGCAACAATCAGATGAATGAATACACAACAGTAAGGCAGCGGGAGCTACAGATGAAGGAGAAAAAGGAAATAAGTACACTGTGTTCTGAAACAGACAAGGGGCAGTGTGCGACAAAATCCCGTTAATACACGATGACTACCGAGCGGAAAGAATGTTAAATCCTTTAGAAAGGGGAAGGAAAACAGGTAGAGAGAGAACAAGGGGGTAAATGGACTGAAAACAAATAAATGTGAAGGTCCAGTCCCTTTGGCTAAGATTAGAGGTGGCCAGAGGGCTGATGGTCTGTCAGTTTACGCTGGGAACCCCCCTCCCCGGAAAAATAAGCAGCTGAAGGGCTTTAATCTGGAACATGTTGTTCTAAAGTTCCCTTTTTCTGTTTATTTAGCAGCTTGTTCTACTGTGGATTTATTTGTTCTTAACTCTGGAATTCAGAAACTACACACAAGGACATTTTTCATCAGCTTTCAACTGTACAAAAATACAACTCTATGAAGAAACCAAGGACATCTCTACATAGTTTTCTAAAACCAGACTGAATCATGAAAAATACTACAGAGATCAGGGTCACTGCAGCCTAGTATGGATTCTCTACAAATTCCAGAATAACATTTTTTATGGTTTGCTTTACAAAATATACCATTCAACCAGAGATCAGCTCCTGTAATTAGTTTGAGAGATCCGAGAAGCTCAACTGGTTTGACACAGTGACAGTTGGGAAGTTTTACTAACCATTAGGATAGCACTAAGAGTTCTATTGACTAGCTCAGGCAAGCTACACAAGTTCTTTCAACTGGCTCAGAAGAATTACACGAGAAACAAGTATTTTTTACCTGGAAAGTTAGCTTTATGAGCTACGTTAGCAGGTTCAGAGACTGTACCCAGTTCAGAGGTAACCCACAACACCATGGCCTTGTTCCGAGCAACCAAAGAAGCCCCTGTAAAAATAAAACTATCTGGTTCAGAGTTCCCATATAGCCAAGATACCAGTTCCATTACCTAGTCTGGAGCAGCTCAATAAACTTTCATAACAGGTTCCAAGAGCAAACATCTCAAAGTATAAGGCGCCATCAAAGAGTATCTCAATGAACACGACTCTAGATTATAAAGGGAAATAAACCTAGAAACATGCCAAGTTCTTTTCTTTAGTTTATCAGGTTTTCCCACCTGATAGTCCACTAGACTTGGTTTTATTATGAACCAAAGTTGCAACATTTGTTCCATTTCCAGCTGCTGTGGTTCTCTTACACACCACACAAACCCTTTGAAAAAGTTACCCCTTTCCTGTGGAGGCGCTGCACCAAGAACCGCATGTAAACCTCAGAAGAAGTCACTGAGTGCTACTTCTTTTTTCATAAAATGTAAACAAAAATAGAGTGGCATAAAATTTTTGTGGTTGTAGGATTTGCCTTTTGTCTTTAGTAAAAGACCACGAGTCATTTCTCCCACTTGTACTGGACTCTTGTGTTTGTTTTGATTGTATTCACTCAGAATGCCCTGCGCCATAGTCTGCTTCCTGGTTTTGGAGCAGTCTCTCGCCCACTTGCCATTCACAAATGCATTCAAACCACACCAGAATTCACCTAAACCAAACCAAGACCCAGGTTAGTGGGTGGACCAGAGTTTACTTTTTTGTCTGCATCAGAGTTCAATTAAAGATTCACACCTCCCAAAATGAATCAGACTTTCTAGGCAAGTGAACTAAAGTTGGATTAAAGTGGGCTAAGCAGGGCTGATGGGAATGCAGTACTTTGTTTTGGTAGCTAAATCAGGTGACTGATTAATTCTAACGCATTTCCATCCTCCACAGCAGTGTTTTCTACTGAAGCCAAATCCAACCTCGTCTAAAGTGCGACTTTGAATTCCCAGGTTGGTTAAATTTAGCACATACTGTAGGAAAAACAACAATCTTCACAAAAAAAGAAGGAAGGACTGAAAAATCTATGCGATTTAAACTCTTTTGAATTAAGTTGTGATGTATGAATTATTCAATAAATCTCCATGAAACCCTCCTTCTCTTACAACTGCTAAGCACTAGGACTGCAGCTTGCGTCACCCTGCCCTCATTTTGTTTCAGATCTTATCAGCAATCCACTTCACATCTTTCTAGCTGAAAAACGCTGTTGATTAACCGAGACGTCCAGCTGCTTGGGTTTAAAAATAGAAAATATTAGTTTAATCAGTATATTGGGAGGGTTGATGAACAGAACTATCCGCCCTTTCCCCTTATATCCATCTGCAGTCAAGTTCCTCAACAGTGGCAATGCGGCAACTGGTGCCTTATGTCTCAACCCCCTCCACCCATCTGCTTCACACCTCCCTTTCTAGAGCCCCCTCCAATGACGCCCCTCAGCTCACTTGGTTTAGTGTTTCTATCGCCCTGTGTTGTGGAGAGGGTGAGGAAACCGCAAAAAGGGCAGCGAAGAGGGACATCTCATATTTAAAACAAGGCAGAAGTCCAAAAAACGAGGATGTGGGGGTTGGGGCACATCGGAGGTCTCGTCATACATTTGCACTCAATAGCCCAGATCTCCTCAATTATAGCCAGACAAGTTCTCATCCTTCTCTGCAACAAGACAACCACCTCATCCACATTTGGCTGCATTTACCAGAGAAGAAAAGGAGGGGAAGCAGAGAAGGAGAAGAAGGGGGTGCTGTGGGAAAGAGGGGGGATGTTGGATGGGGGCAGGGCATGGCTTTCATCTCATATGGGAGCAAGCAGCAGAAGCCAAAAAAACACAGGATGAGAAAGCATGAAGACTTAGCCCAGAACGAGGAATTCCTTCTTCACATCTCCCACCAGACCGGCTGGATCTCGTCCCCCCGCCACCACCAGCTTCTCTGTCTCCTCATCCCCACCGGGGGTAAATTTGTATTCCGCAGAATGGCAGGGTGTGGCGGCAGAGATCAGTTTCATCTATGGTGATTTAAGTTTATGGAAAACGGACAGCAGTCGGTTTTGATGTAGCAGGATGGTCAGAGAAACTATCTGAAGGATGGAAATTACACCTAAAGACAAATTTAAGTCAAGGGGAAACACTAAACTGGGAAATTTCAGTCAAATAAAATTAAATAACGTTTTCATGACTGTTTTTTCCTCTATATGCTGTAAATAATCAACACTATAGAAAAGCAGTCATAGTCAGCCTCCTTACAAGGAGGACTCCAGATAAGTCTGACATAATGCAGAACCGACAAAAAAAAAAGCTGCAACAGGAATACACAAACTAAATCGCCTCAATGTTTCAGAGAAGTAAAAGGAAAAAAAAAAACTTGTAGAAGTAAGACTTGCAACATTTTAGGCGTCTTCTTCCAAGTTTAGCAGCCACTTTCAACATTTTTCACTTGAAAGGAGCACTAAAAGTTTTGCCCTCCACGCTTTACGCCCGTTATTTTCTCAATTGTAACAGCTTTTATTTCCACTAAAGCAGGCAAACTTTGACAGCCAAAGGCGGCGGAGAACATCCCGTTATGTAACCCGACACCGAGCAGTTTTCCTAAGTAGCATCTCTCCTCCTTTTCGGGAAAAAACGAAAACTTCTCAAACATCTCCAGCAGGCATTGCCTCAGACAGCCCCAAATGTGCTCAGTTTGAGGAGCTTCTAGTCAACGAGGCTTAAAACACGGAAACAGCGGGCATTTACACAAAATGTAGCTTATCTTTCAACACGTTGGTCTCCACCTTCTTTTCGATCAACATCGATTTACAGACACTTGTTAGAATGTTGTTTAAACTTTTAAACCGCCTGTTTATGAACAGATCCGCCTCGTTTGTCTTAAAAAGAAAAAAATATATATACTCACCCCTCTTCCCATCGTTGCAAAGATTATTTTTTCCCCTCTTCAAGTAAAATTGGTCAAATAAAACTCCGCCTTAAAAAATATATACAATAAAAAAAATCTATCAAAATAAAATGAACTCTTGGATGTGCTCTGTATTTGTTTTATTTTTTTTATTATTTAATCTTCAGCACGTGTCACTCCTAAGCACACATCCGAGCTCGCGAACCGCCGCGGCAGAACCTCTTATAGTCGGCGTTCCTTCCATTATGACGTTGACACCATTTGCCATGGTAACCCCCACGGAAAAAGGCGGGGCTTCCTCCATTTCTTTTCTTTTTTTATTTTAAAACCATGCAACACATGGTACGCATAACATCATACCATGTACTACTGCGATTTTCAGAAGAAAATAAAGGTCCGGGGTTTTTTTTTTTCAATATTTGTTAGAGAATTAATTGCTCACAGCTTGAGCGATATTCCAGTTATTTATTTTGTTCAAAGGGCTAATTCAAAGATTGAATAAATACAAAAAAAAAAAAAAAAAATCAGTACAGAAAATTCATTATCAAAGACGGCAGCTGACTTGGAATGTATAGTCACTCAGCTCAGCATCGTAGCTGAAATAGCTGATTGGTCAGAGATCTGAATCCAAATATGTGAATGGAAAGTTGAGTGGAAGAAAAAACTGGGTTAGACAAAGCTGTTAAAAAGACAGGGGTAATCACAGATATGAGAAGAACCAAATCCTGTCCAAGATTCAAGGGATGGTCTGACCAAAAAGAGAAGGAGACTGTTGCTTATTGGTCCAAACTCTTCCTGTGAGATTTTCAGTATTTGTGACTATTTATTTTTACAGCATTTTCAAACAAAGAACAGAGGACAACGTGATTTAAAGCCAAAGTGACTACATTAATTTGAAAAAAGAGACCCTTTTACCATCTAATAACCTCTAATAACCCATAGATTGCTTTTGGGTGTATGAATGTTTTGCTAATTGGTTGTAAAAAACTAAAACCTTCAAACTAAAGTGTTTAGTTGATGTGTTTTAAAATTACAATAAATCTTAAATTTAGACATGAGATGTAAAAGGGTAAAACAAAATTTGACTAGATTTTTATTTAAATGTCACACTATTACATCCTCCAAACACCAACTTGTACTACAGTATTCATGACATCATTGCCCATATATGGAAGACATCCAAGATATATGACGAAAACTGCAGAAGTTTAGAATGTAGAAGTTACATTCTAAGATGGTCACAGAATGAGGTGTATGTCCAGGAACAAAATAACTGACAGATGTTTTGTTGGTGGCTTTGTTTTTATTATTTTACCCATAAAAAGTAAATTAAACCATTTTTATATATCCATCTTTATACTAATAACTTTCATGACAAAAATGTAAAACAATGACCTGCATTTCAATTTAATACATAACTTTTAAAACATGCAAAAGTTTAAAAAATTTTGATTTAGATCTGTAGTTTTAAATATGAAGGTTCAAGTACTAAGCATGCACTATGGATGGAAACACTAAATATGCAATTTAAGAAAGAAAAATGTCTGCAGGTCTCAAGCCGCCAGAGCATCTTTGCAATGTGGAGGAATGGAAAATGGAGAGAATTTTGAATATGTAGCTGAAAGAGCTGTTATTATGGCAATAAGGACAGGAATCTTTGAGGAATTCTTCAGAGACCATGCAGAAACAATGCCACAAAGACATTTCTGAATGACCAATGAGTGCGATTGGTCTAAAGGTGGGTTATGGTTGCTATTTTTCAAACAGAACAACTGGTTCTCTTCTGCTGATAACAAAATGCTCTCAGGATTATATTAAAACTAGAATAGGTTTTAAAAAAACCAGGAAGACAGTTCAGCCAAAACACTGTCACCATGCATCTACATCTCTCCCGGCCGAACAGCTGGGTGCACAGACACCTCCTTCCCCCTGCTGCTTTGACAAGGTTGTTGTGTGCTGATAGCGGGCAACTAACTTCTGCAACCTCTCAGCTTCTAAATCCAGAGTGGGTAAGGCAGACTTAGCCCTTATACGCAGAAGACGCACCACTCAGTGTTTCTTAGCCAGTAGGTAATATTGCTTCCTATAGGCTCCTATTAGCTCTAGAGTCCTCTGAAAGTGTCCTTCTCTTTGTGACCCTTTAACACATTGCAAATAGCTGTAGTATACTCCCTGACCCGAGGACCCTCTCTACAGTGGTTAAAGGATCCATGTTGAGGGGCCACATTGATAATCAACCAGTTTGTTCTGTAGTAACGCACAGCAAGGCAGCAGCAATGCCCTTGTGGCTATTTGCATGTGTTCCAGAAGCTCTTAAACTGTTTGATCCCTCAGTGCAAGTGAGAGATTTAGGCTTTCATCCCTAGATCTGCTGTAAGCCTGAAACATGACACATTCTGTCACTTGTTGCATTTTGCATGGCTAGCGGCAAACTTCTTGAACTCTATGGTTATTTTTTGAAATTGCCAAGCAAATCTTGCATCGCCATCCACTCCTGCCTGCTGCTTATGACAAGCGACCTTCTTGGACAGGTCGAGCCCACTGCAACAGCACTATTGTCTCCTGATGGGTAGACGTGCCACTCAGCATCGGCCTCTCTCACATGTAGTCAGGCAGCCTTGAAGAGCCTGACAAGATAAACCCAAGATAGATTAAATGACCAAAGGAAGACTTCACTGCTTCTGTTTTCTGCAGAGAGACACGCTGATGCATGATTACTTTGGTTCTGCGCAGAAAAAGCAGGAGTAAACACATAAAACAACAGGTGGGCTTGAAAGACAGATGGACACGCAGCAGAGATGCGACTGCATTGTGTGCACAGGCTCACCTACATGCATCTGCATGCAGACGTAAGGAAACCTTTCTGGTTTTGGGTAGTCAAGCATGTGCCGTAACTGTAGCTCACGTGTCGCCGGCGTTCTTCTATAAATGGCCCAGATTTTATTTAGATGTTCAAGAGAGGAGAGAGGGAGTGAATTCTCAAATAGGGTTGCGATGGCAACAAGCACGTTCAATGGGGGCGAGGCGGGGATTATGAGGAGCGGGGGGGGGGGGGAGGGGGGGGTTTGGGTTGGGGTGGAGGCATGATAATATTGGTGTCTGCAATCGTCTTCCTTCAAAATAAGAGAAGATAAATCTAAGACCCGCGTTTTGTGATTTCACTCCACATTGAGAAAATTGAGGAAACTAGAGAAGCCAATAAATCTGCTGATCTCCTGCTCCCACTTCTTCCCTTCCTCTTTATCACATCGACTTGCTTCCTTCACCATCCATCAACCTCATTCTCTCCCTTCCGTCTGTTTCCCTCCGCATCCCTCCATCCTTTTGTCTGCAGATTCTTCCTGCCCGTCTTGCAGCAGCTCCCTTTCCAGTGAGGGAGAGAAATCTGATTGGCTGCTGGGAATATTCCATCTTCCACAAATGGAAATCTGAACAGTTTCGAGGGATAATCATCGTAATGGCTCAAGTGTTTTCCCCTCAAGTATGTGTGAACAGTGAGGCCAACCATCTGCTGGCAGGTTGGTATGACGATGGAATACTATCTGTGTAGGTGAAGAGGAGGAGAGGGGCATTCATAATGAGCATGGTAAACACACAGGAGATGGCCAACAACGGGCTCACTTCATTTTCACTCAGGGGCCTCTTTGCATTCGCGGTCAAATGAGCAATCCATTACAAACACTATTGTGGCACACTGGCCCTTCAGATAATGGACACAAACAGACACAATCTCTCTGCCAACAGGCTGTGGAGGAGAAAGATAAATGGACAAAAGAACATTTTGAACACATTTATGAAAATAATCTGTTCCAGACTCAAATATGCAAACTTTGAAACTTTTAAATAATAAATATGGACAGATGGATACATCGATGAATTGATGGATGGATGGATGGAACAAAAAGACGAGTGACTTCAGAGAAAATGTTAACGACACGTTTTATTGGAACAACAAATAAATTAAGAGACTCTTAATTTATCCATGCTTTTTCTCTTTGTGCTTCTTGGCTGTGGCGTTTCAAACAAATATGTAACATGGCAGCAAATAAATGATGAAATATGAGTTTTCTTTTTCTTCTGGCCCGACTCAGTAGTATGTCTCCTGCTCCACCCAACCTACAAATAGAGTAAACACAATTAACTAAACTTTGTTTGGCCTTCAAATCATACAAGTTTTACAGTCAGAGGCTGACCATCAGGGCCAGCCTAAAATCCTTGATGTGGGATCTCAGTGAGTTAAAGAATAAAAACCTTACTAGGAAGAAAAATGTATCCTAAATTAGAGGCAATGTAGTCAGACTTTTAAGATGACGATATCCTTGAGGGACAGGAGACACTGTGGCCTTTTTCACGATACAGCAAGTAAAATATTAATCATTATTTAGGAAGGACATGACTAGATGGGTCTGACCTCATCTAGATACATAATGGAAAAGAGGAAGACATTTATAGAGATTAGAATATGCCCTAAGTTCACATTTTATCCTAATTTGTTGATTAGGTTTTAATGATTTGTGTGTATATGAGAGCAACAACTGCTCCATCATATACAAAGATGCTTCAAAATAATATAAACATTCACATCGGTATAACTTTTCCAAATTCAGACATGACGTAATGACAAATCTCAGGTTGATTTCTTTACAGTACCACTCATAGGCAAAATTACTGCATTCCAATGGAGAACAAGTGACTAGTTAAAGGAACCCCAAGTCGTTAACCTAGTAACACAAAGCTATTGGGACACAGGGCCAGAGGCGGGGTGGGGGGCGGGATCAGGGGTGGACATATTTGTACGGGTGGGGCTTGGAACCCGCTGATAACTGCTTGTATTTCTAGTTTCTTTTGACTTTTTGTGATAGATCCAAACAATAAATCCTATTAGATCCTATACTTTTCCTCAGCATGGATAGGAAGCTGGTCAGAGCGTCCTATCCAGCTCAGGATAGGACTTTGTACACAGTTCAAAGTCTGTACTGTGTAATCACCCCTTCTACTCTGAAATCCTGAAATAAAATTGAGTATAGCCTTCTGAAGAAAACAATTGCAACAGAAAACACACTGGTAGGATAAGAGGAACATGGAACTTTTTGACTGTATATGGTGGCAGTGTCATGCTGTGGGGATGCGTCTCTTCAGCAGAAACAGGAAAGATTGTTAAAGCTAAAGGTCCTGCAGGAGTAAACAGCCACAGCTGCAGCAGGA